ACTCCCATTTTACTGAGACTAGCTGTTTATAACCTAAAGGTTTCAAATATATGAACTGAAATAATAAGAATAATTTTAATAATGGAGGGCTAAGTATTTCTATTTCTGTGATGTGTTGGGAATTGCTTTGGATGTCTAAATGGCATTAATTCAATATCATCAGAAGAAACGGCATGTGTACAGATGATCTGTGTTTAGACATATGCCACAGTTTCACCTTTGGGGATCTTTGTGCCTATTCTGTGTACTACATGCTGGTAATCAGCTTAAAATTCTTTTAATTTTTGTGTACGGAGTTGATTGCAAGAAAGGTTAATGCATTTGTATAAACAAGTGGCCATGTGACTAAAAGGCTCTCAATTTATTTATAACTTTCCAAAGTACATTCAGAGGTATCTATTCCTCCTCGCTCTTTCAGGAACATTTTGTTCCAGGGATCAACTTTGTGGAGTAGTTCCCAACTGGCAGTTGTCATAGGTAGTGTGACACTTGTGTGAGTTGGTTGTTTCTTAAGATGTCTTTTTAGTTTAAGCTTACAGCTTATGGAATTGTAATCAAGTTTAAATGATTAAGCATTCCCAATGTGAATGAGATGTTCTGTCACTGGGTTTGAACATGCCACACATATATACCTCTTTTTTAAAAGTGAAGTCTAGAGCTGCTGGCTGTGGTGCTTTGTGGTTTCTCATTTTTCATGTAGCTGTATACTGCCAGTTTTCCTCCTAGTAAAAACTGTTGGTCAGCTTGGATGTTGAAGGCCTGCTGGGATGTATTCAGATAACTTTGTCCTTGCAGACACTTTACAAATTCTTCAGCATTGAGAACAGAGAATTCAGTAAAATTAGAGGGTGTTTTTCTAGATCTGCTGTTGAGGATCCTCTTTCATTATCAAACTACTTTCTTGTACTACAACATGGCTCTTTATTTTTTTTCTTTTCCACATAGTTTATAGATTAAAAAATATTCAAGTTAAGGAACTTTTTGATAGCAAAGACTTGCCTGCACATTTTGCTGCTAACACTGACATGAGTGCACCACACACTGGCAAATTACAGATTTCCTAAAGAAATAGTATCACTGGGAGTCCTTTCTCAAAGGTGCCACCTGTACCATGTCAATGGTAACACTGTTCAATGTTCCTGAAGACATACAGGCCATGTGTATGTATTTTAGTGACCTATGTTGATTGATAATGCTTCATGTTCTGTTTACATAATTTTGAAATTGCATTTTGGTCTCCATAGTGAAGTATATTTAGAGAAGTGCATGGGATATGTGTTAATACAGTTTTGAAACAGGAATTAAGATTATTTTTTTTTACTATTTTCAAGACTTGGAACTCCTAGAACTATGAATATGTCTTATATCTGAGTTTGTTTTAGTTAACCAATATTATATGAATTGTAAAAGCTTACAGTCCAGAAAACAGCCAAAAAGGTCGTTACTTAGAACTTGAAACATCACTTGTTTATCAGAGAACCATATTTTTTTCATGGTTAGTAAACCATTCACATCAGACCTAACATGTTTTTCTCTGAAGAGAGAGGTTGCATGTTCAGGTATGTTCAGTATGCATTTATTGGTTCTTGTAGGCAGCCTTGTCTGAGCTACATTCTATACATGTGAAATAGCTGCCATGAACTCCCTGTTACCGAAACATCTTCGATATTCCCGCTGCCACTGCAATGTGACTCTGTAAGTGGGTATAGCATCTTTGTTAGGGACTACAGGTCAAGGAAGGTGATTCTTCTCTGTTACTTGGATCTTGTGAGACACCACCTGGAGTACTGTGTCCAGTTCTGGAGCTCCCAACATAAGAAGGATGTGGAGCTCCTGGGGAGAGTCCAGAGGAGGGCCACAAAGATGATCAAAGGGCTGGAGCACCTCCTGTGAAGACAGGATGAGAATTGGGGTTGCTCAGCTAGAAAAGAAGGCTCCAGGGAGATCTCATTGTGGATTTCCAATACCTGCAGGTGGCCTGCAAGAAAGCTGGGGCATGTAGAAATGGGAAAAGGAGTAATCATTAAAGGGTGAAGGAGGGTAGATTTAGCTATTAGGAAGTTCTTTCCTGTGAGGGTGGTGAGAGCCTGTCACAGGTTGCCCCGAGAAGTTGTGGATGTCCCATCCCTGGAAGTGTTGAAGGCCAGGCTGGATGGGGTTTTGAGCAGTCTAGTAGGAGGTGTCCCTTCCCATGCATGGGGGTTGGAACTAGATGATCTTTAAGGTCCCTTCCAAACCAAACCATTCTGATTCTTTAACTAGGGATTGCCTTGAAGCAAAGGATTTTGTTGCCTGTACTAGTTGTAATAGGACCTTGATAAATACACTGTTTAACATTGATTTAGTGGCTGCTGCCTCTTACTGTTTCCTCATCACACACTGAGCACCAGCACAGGTTGCCAAGAGGTTGTGGCATCTCCATCCTTGGACATCTTCAAAAGCCATCTGGACAAGGTCCTGGACAGCCTGCTTTGAATGCCCTCTTTGAGCATGGGGGGAACAGGTGACCTCCAGAGCCCCCTTCCAACCTCAACCATTCTGTGATTCTATCAGCTTTTTAATTTGGAAGAATTAAAAAAAAAAGTGCTGAATTTTGGGGGGACATGGAAGGGATGATAAGAATGGTATTAATTCCACTTCAGTTAAAGAGCTTTTCTCTGGGATCAAAGCTGCTTTCAATTCATACTGAGCTTCTATACTGCTACTTCTGTCTGTTGTTCCTCATAGCAAGCAGCTAAAATTGAGTTGGTCCTATTTTGCAGGACTGATAAAGTACAATTATAACACACTTTTTAAAAAAGTCTTTTTTTTTGGCTAATAGCCTGCGCATTCTTTGGTTTTGTCTACTTTGAAATAGCTTGTACCCTTTGGAAAAAAAACAAAACAGCCAAAACTGGGGAGAGGGGAGGAAATTGTCAGATGAAAAATGCTCAAAGTAATAGTGGTATGAAAAAAAAAAAAGAGCTGTGAAGTATGTTCTATATGCTTAGTCCTACTAGACTTTCTCATATCTTATGCAGAATGATACTGTTAAAATAGACAGCAAATTATTTATATAAAGTGTTTCTTATATATAATTTAAAATATATAATATATGAAGAAATATTTTGGAGCTGATTTACAGACACTCAGTTTTCTTCAGTTTAGAATGAAAGGGAATACAGTTTATGTTGTCTATTGTTATATGTAATCACAAAGTAACTGATTCTTGTAAGAACTCACAATTTGTATATTCTTGTAAGATTTGCTAGAACCTCTGACAATCTTGGTTGACAATCTAAATGTGGTGGGCTAAGTCTGCTTCATGTATTCTTTTAGGCAATACATGGAGTACACTGGTAGCAGTAACTTCTGTTGTCCAATTAGGAGGAAAACATTTTATGCATCTACAGCATGCACTTGAGCTAGTCACCACACTCAGAAAAAGTTGTCGAGTTTACTGGAGCTTCTGGGTAGAGAACCAAGTACTGCACTAAAAACTTGGAGGTTTTTTTTCTGTTCCTTGGTGGACTGTAGCAGGTTTTCTGTTTTCTGTTACCTTAGTTTACATAAAGATGCACTTGGACTCTAGGCCAAGTGCACATGCTAGAGTATTCTAATCATGTTGAAACTATTAAATATATTGTCTGTCTTTTGTAACATTTTCACTGTAATGGCTAAGATAAAGTGTTTTCTGAAACGGAAGTAACTGATTATTCTGGAAGATAAGGTTGCTTTCTGAAGACTATCCTTGTACCACTCTTGTTCAGTGACAGAATCTAGATCAAGTTCTCCTTGAGTTCAAGACGACCTTATATTAAGAAAAGTACAGTAACTGTGAGGAAAAAGTTTTTTGTATGCTAATTTTGTGGCCATGCTGAAGGGTAGCTTTTATTAATAAAGATCTCATTCTTGCTTTTCATAGTTTCAAATCAGGGTAGTTTCCTGTAGGTCTGCAAATAACTATCTTAATGCATATAGGATTTTTTCAGCATTAGTATTAGTATTTTGTAATCATGCTCTGTGTTAGCATTTCTAAATTGGGTTCAGTGTTATCTTTTCATCATGCTAAGGCTTCTATTACTAAATATTAAAGTAAATGTTTCTTCTAACGTCTGTCAGGTGTTAGCACTTCTGAAAAACATGAGAATGGGGAGCTCAAGGTCCTCAGCTGTGAATATTTATTTTTCAGGATTGTGTTCTTTTGAGCATGTTGTTTCAAGTGCTGAGATTTTTACAGAACACTTTTCCATGAGAGCTATCTAATTTATGTAGGATCTCTGAAGTTTTTCACCAGTGTCTATGAAGATGACTCTTGCATCATGTAGCTATTTGACAAGCATTATTTATCAAGTACAGAGGAAACTGATTAACTGTGGAGCAGAATTGTGTAAAATTGAATTCAGAACCATTTTCTGTTTTTTCATAAGAAAATGATTACAAAAAGAATTCCATGTGAAGACTGTTGAAAGCTGGCTGCAGTTTATGATATAACAGATAAAATCTGCATCCTTGGCCTTCCAACAACCTTTACACCAGCAGATGGTGGGCGTAAAGATGTCATTCATCATTTATTTACAATGGGCTTTATTTATTCTAGTGTCAACAGCTGCCCCAGGGAGCGGGTTATTGAATTCAAATGTGAAGCTCTGGGTTATTTGCTTCCTTTCAAATTTGTCTTCAGAGCTTAGTTGCTAGGAGTCCATTCTGTGCTCTAATAATGATTCATGTATTGTGAAGCCATTCAGTAAATTGGGTTGTCAGGGATTGCCAAAAAAAGGTTTAGAGGTCTTGTTCCGATTTTTTTTTTTCTTTTAAACAGCACTGTGCTGTAGTTGGTGTCTTCTCCTTATGTACCTTCTCTTTACTTTGTCCCCAGTTATTCCCTCTCTGATTTCCCCTCCACACTCCTCCTTGTCCCCAGCCTCTCAAAAGTAGAATTCTATTATTCTAAATGTGTGGTTTTCTGCACCAAAAAAAGTACGTTTGAGATATAAATAATGAAACTTTGTCTTCTACAGGCAGGGCAGGAGTCCTTCCGTTCGATCACAAGGTCATACTACAGAGGTGCAGCAGGGGCTTTACTAGTGTATGACATTACAAGGTGAGAATACCGAGGAGGTGTAACAGGATTAAAATTTTATGTGTGAGTAGAATTGTGCTATGGTATATAGCGATGTTAAAATGTCTAATTTAGGGTGACTTTTTGTGTAGATCTTTATAATCTGATGTTTTCCTTAAGTGCTCAAAATCAAGTTGTGGCCCATGTAACCTACATACATCCAATTTTCTCTATAGCGGTTGAGGAAAAGTATGTGTAAAGCCTCAGAATGAAACTAAATATTTGAATACACTTTTTTACCATGAACCTCTGGATTACCTTTATTGAGAAAGACCTTGAAATATTTAATTAACATCTTTCTAGTTATTTTATTACTATGAGCTAAATTTTTTGTTGAATTGTAGCAGATTTTTTACTGAAGTGCCATTCTGCAACAAAATACGGTTTCAGAAAAATACTGGGAAACTTCTACCATTTCTGTGTTTTATGAGTTTGGGAAAATGCAGGTCTTAGTGTGATATATTTTATTTTTGTAGCAGCTGTTCAGAAGTGACTAAGATTTTTCTTGTTGTATTGAATAGTTTCTATACAAATTGTTACCTGTAAACTCTTGAGTACTGTGCCTGGTTTATGTAAATGTTCAGGCTCTAAAATCCTATTAGAATGTGTTGCTTCCTTTGTGGATCTTGTATCTTGTTGCTGAATCAAGCAACATCTTTTCCTAGAGATTTCATATATGTTTTTCCTTTTGTTCCCAGTTTATTTCTGAATATCAGACAGCAATGTATTCTTTCCATTAGATTTCCACCAAATGAGTCTTTGAGTCATTGGTTGATGGATTTTTACTTTTGTGAAATCTTAAGCACACTTTACAAGCATGTGATTTTAATATTTTGTGTACACATTCTGTAAAATCTGTAATATGCCATATTTGTGTACCTCACTTTGAAAGACTTAGCTGCTACATTCATTATTCGGTTTGTAAACTCACAGAAAATTATTGCACATTTTCTGCCTTGTAGAACAAATATTACCATATGATTGTAATTTTGTTTGAGTTATTTGAGGCTATTAGGGACTACTGAATTCTATTCAGCAGATTTTATATGTAACTACAGATTCTTACAGATACAAGAATCCTCTTTGCTCTTTTGTAGCAAACATTTTCAGTTACTTTTTAGGCAGAGTTCATTAATGCTCCTTATTTACTAAACTTGTTTGCCTAGTCTCCCTCTCACAAAGGGATTACTAGCTTTTATCCCTGGAGCATGCGTACTGATAAATGAGTTGGTTACTCAAGTAGAGAAGCTGCCTAAAAGAAAGGAAAGAGATTTCTTGAAATAGTGCTTTTAATTTTCTTTCTCTTTCATATTTAGGAGGGACACTTTCAACCACTTGACAACTTGGTTAGAAGATGCTCGTCAGCATTCCAATTCAAACATGGTTATAATGCTTATTGGAAATAAAAGGTAAAAATTAGCCAGTTACGATTTGATATTACTTCTCATTATTTCAGCTTTTGTGTTTTCCTATTTGTAGGTAGCATGTTAACATTTTTTTCAGTTGTTGGACATAGTTCTATGGTGAATGTACAACTTTTCCTTCCTGAATTAGACTACTGCAATGTGCAGCACATGTAAATCAGTTACTTTCTGTTCTGAGTACCATTTTTTAGAAGTAATTTTAAAAGGATCAACTGTGAATGCATAAAGTCAGTAATTATATTAATTATTTTTCCTGATGCCTTTTTTTTTACATCTGGAATCATTTGGAAGCACCTTGATTTTCCATTTTGAAGAAAATATGACTGCTAATTTTAGGTGTTCTAAAGTGCTTTTCTAGTTCTTGGTTAAGAATCACAGTAGTGAAAATGTAGTATAGGCCTCTTTTTTTGAAGTTACAGGATTCACTATAAAACTTTAGGAAAATGTAGAAAGTGCCTACCACAGTCATTATATGAGATGCTTCTGAATTCTAAGGCTGTTTCATATTCTGTCTGTTTTAGCTGGGACTGGGGGCAGGGAATGCTTTTTCACCATCTCCTGGTGAATTCAGGCTACTTTTGGGCACTGGATTTTGAAAATCCAATTGAAGGTTTTGAAAGTGTGTTACCCGGTTTGTAAACAATTTTTACTTGGTCTTCTCATCAGCTAGACTGTCCAAAGTTCTAAAATGGGTCCCTATTAATGCTAAGACTTTGATCTGTATTGAAGATCTTTATAAAAATGCATCAGTGAATGTTATCTGTAATTTTTCTAGTTGTTGATCCAATGAACTGTAGCATCATGTCTAGATTATTTTTTTTGCTGGATGTAGGGTTTTTCCAAATATTAAAAGCACCATCTCAGAACTTAATAACCCATTAGTCATGGGCCTTTACCTAATTGACCTTAACTTGTCTCCATGCCTCAGTAGTTCTTGAAGGTAAAGGTGCCAGTTGAAATAATGGTGCTTCTCCTTTAAAATTCATGAGTAGCCAGATAATTTCTTAAGATACTCCTGGGAAACAGCCTTGTAGTAAAGAGTGGCTGGTTTTGATACTCTGGCCTGCTCACCTCTTTCTTCTTTGTCCCCCTTCTCCCTTCTGTTTTTCTCCATCTGCCCCCCACCAGTTACTTGTCCTTGAAAAACAAGTTAAGCATTAAAGTAATTGTGAAGCTTGTCCACTTTTTTTACATAATCTGGAAAATGATCACTGACATTATTTTAACTGAGGAATGTGATAAGTGTCATCTTCACAAATTAATATAAATATGTAATCTCCTTCATTAAATGAAGCTTTGGTAAGCTTGTGATATCTATGACCAACTGGTTTTTTGCTTATGTGAGTGAAAATGTGGTACTGAGAGAAACAGTGGATTGTACTGTTTACTTGAGATAAGTATTACGTAAGCTTGCATACTTAGTTGACATCTGTAACTTCCTCATTATTCCTAGCTGTTAAGCTAAATTTTTGTCTTGCATTCTGCTTAGGCAAACTGTACCACATGAATGGATGTTATAATGTGCTACTTCCGGCTAGCTCAGTAATTCCCAGTTACAACTAGTTTTTATTCTAACAATAAATGCACTTAAACTGTATTTTAAGTCACATATTAAGGTGCCACATGCAGTAAAAGTTCTTTAGGAAGCTTTTTAAAGGGGATGATTTTCCAGCCTCAGAGAGGAAGATAGGAAGAAAACTCCTTTGATCATATTGCGTTATCCTGGAAGTCTGGTACAGGAGTTCTTATGGTAGGGCATACTTCTAGAGGTGGATGGAAGAAAAAGTATGCTTGCACAGTATTTTTTAAGGAATACATTTTGTTCTTACGAGTCCCAAAAGTACACTTGATACACGTTTGTAGTATTGATTTACTGCTGGATTTGAAGAGTGTTGAGAATTTAATCTGAAATATAATCACTGTTTTTTGAAAACATTACAAATACTAGTGTTAAAACATGACAAATGCATAATCTTCTTTTCAGAACAAAACATAGTTATATTGATCTAGTATGACCAAATGCTTCGAATTATTGGAATGGAGAGGAAGACAGCTGTGGTTAGTAGAAGCAGTTAAAGCTCTTTTAAGAATACTTCTAGATATTAGTACTGAGTGTTGACTGGGTTATCACTGCAGTTTTTGATGCAGCTGCACTCTTTCAATACAAAAGTTGTTTATTTCCGCTCTATCATGGAAATAACACTGTAGTGAGTCAAGGTTTTAAATATTTTTGAGGTGGTAGTAGCAAATGAAGACATTGCTCAAGTTCAAAGATACAGTGTCAGTTATTTCAGGGACATGAGAATGTACACCCTGTTAAGATATCTTAAGCCTGAGGCTGAGATACTGGGAATGCTTACACATAATAAACATCAACTTTAAAATTGTTTTGAGAATACATTTCTTACATGCTTATTTTCAAATGCTCCATGTTTAAATGATGTGCTGAATTGTCTTGACTCTGTAACTCATCTGAGCTAGCATGTAGTTGTAAAAATTACAAAAACTTGCTTTGCTACAAAATATGCCACAGTGAGTATTGTTTATGTTTAATATATATATAATTACAAGCACTGAAGCCCAGTATGATACTTTTTACTGGTATTCTGTCTGCAAATTAAACCCCTGTATTTGCATGGTGTTTAGATTAAAAATGTATATCTGAGAAGACATTTTTACATGCACAACTTAAATGAAACTTTATTTAAATATATACCTTATATTTATTATTCATAAATATAGCATTTTTATTACTCAATATGTAATATGCTTACAAAGAAGGACAGAAACTTTGTACTCCTTGTTCCTAAAGAAGCTTTAAGAAGTAAGGGTGAAATATTTATGTGTCTATGTGACTTACAGAAGTGGATGTGTCTTCAGTTGTCCAGTCCAAGAGGGCTTTTTTCTGTTCTTCTGTTCAGTATTTAATTTCCATCTAAACTGCTTGGAAAGCAGGAAATAAGAAATTGTATAACAGTCACGGCAAATTCTTTTGCGTTTAGAGGGCCAAACCGGAAGTCTCAAAACCTAAATGCTAGCTTCTCAGAAGAGAATAGCTAATGTAGTTCAAAATAACTTATTTTTGCTTTTTATCAGAACAGAAATTTATTCTATGAAGTTTTATTACTGAATAGGAAAAAATAGGTTTCTTTTTTTAATTATTTTTAATTTGACTAAGAAATCTCTTATAAAACTCCCTTTATCAGTTCAGCTTTACAGTGTGGATTGGGAGATAACATAATAAGAGAGTGAAATGGCAATATTTAAATTTAGCATTCAAGGAGTAGGAACAGAAATACACATGCACCCTGTTGAAATCCATTTGGTGAAGTCTTTGATAAGATTGATGTCAGCTAGGTTAGATAGCTCAGGCAAGCACGGTGCCTGTGGCTACTCCATATGCTGTAAGTGCAAGGCTTACAATAGTTGTGCTCAATGTAAGGGCTTGAATTCATGTGTATGTATGTTTTAATGGGGGCTCTTGGCCTATAAGCATGTCTCTGAAGAATAATATTTATGTGGACAGGTGAGACCATGCAATTAATGTATTTTTTTCCATCTTAGTGATTTAGAATCCAGACGAGAAGTCAAGAAAGAGGAAGGTGAAGCATTTGCACGAGAGCATGGACTTATCTTTATGGAGACATCTGCCAAAACTGCTTCCAATGTGGAGGAGGTAACTTTACTGAATGCTGGTGTTTTAGTAAAACGGTTGTTTTGATTTGCACTTTGTTAGCTGTACAGACACTCTTCCTCCAGGTTTTGGGTTCTTTACCTTAAGGCAAGCTCTACATTATATCTGATTGCATATGACTATTTATATTGCTAAGAGTAATTAATATACGTTCTTGATTTTAAAAAATATATTTAATCAGAGAAATAGATATTTCTGTCTGCCCTCAAATCTAAAAATTAAGACTACAATAGATTTGCTAGTCCACAACAAGGCAAACTACTAGTGTCTTTGCCAGATGCCAATCTAACCTGCTCTAAAGATCTCCAATTTTTTACAAGTTCTTCAAAGGATTATGCTGCAATTTTTTGCTATTTGAATTGTTGTCATCTTCCCTCTCTGCTACCTAGCAGGCATCTTTTTTGCTACAGTTCACATGCCCAAACTCTTTTTCTGTCCTCAGCAGAACTGCTGAAGAGGTCATTATCTTGGTTGCAGTATTCTACTATGTATTCAAATAAGTTTTTCAGTCTTTGCTACTTTGAAGAACTTAAGTCTTTTGAAGATGTGCTTATGTGTTCATATTTCTGGACATTTGCAAGTTCTTACATATCTTGCTTTGATTTATTGCATGCTTTTCTTGAAGGGTGATTGTGGTAGGTTGACATCAGCTAGTAACTAAATGCCCATTCAGTTGTTCATTCACTCCCCCTGTTCAACAGAAAGGAGAAAAGAACCAGGAGAGCCAAAGCGAGAAAAACCCAGGGCACTGATATAGAATTGAATAAATGAAGGAAAGAGGAGTGGGAAAG